GCTCATTTAAGCTTAGTTGTTTGACCTTTTAAAGGTGATGTTGGCCAAAGTCATTCAAGACTGCTTTGAGTTTTGCATTTGAATATGCGACAAAGGTTAAGCTAGACAGTATGTTCCTAAAAACAAAATGTTTACCTGGGTCATTTTTGGTCAGTAACCTATCCTGACCATGACGAATTCCATAGAACGTGTATACTGCGGTTCCTGTCATCGACAAAATCGAAATGGGCGCCAGGATCTACCCAGTACAGCAAGCCTCAGAGCAATAACACAGGTGGGTTTTGACCTTGGTCTGACCTGCATACCTGACCGTAGGTCAATTTAACCTGTTCATTCAATTGTTGTGTTGCCCGAGAAAGTATTTTAGAAATGTATGGCTTCATCTAACACTCCGTTGTTGATTGAACGATTCCCTAGAAATTGCCTTCGCTGAAACCATGGCCTGATTTTGACTTGCCATAGGCTAACGACCTACAAGGTACGCCTAAATTGCTGATGTCAGGCGATCCGCTATTCAATTATCTACAGCTATGCAAAATTTAGCGCGGCTATGCCGCGCCGTTCGAAAACCATTTTGGCAAAACCTTTGGGAGGGGGTCATTTTGACCCCCACCCGAGCGCGTGTTAAATGTTCTAATTACCTTTAAACATCCTATCAACGCTTCAGATGCAGGCATGTCATTGTCCCCACTCTCACTTCTTATACTTGAATGCGCTGCTGTATTTTGCTGCCCTAGTGAAATCCTCTCTCCGTACAACCTATCAGCGCCAGTTTTTGGAGATGGGGCTGTTGACTATTATGGACGACAGCCAAGTTTGAATGTCAGCGCCGGTTTCACTGTCACTTGAGAACATGAACAGGATGCAAAGTTAGCGGCGCATCACCCGTCTTCGGGACGATTCGCGTAGTGTGGTGTCTGTTACGTGTTTGAATAACACCGGAGGATGCTGATAGGAAGATGGCAACAGTGGTTTTCGGATGCAGACTTTGTGCTTGGCCTCGCACGGTGTCTGAATCGGCTCTGGAGTCAACCAAATTTGCGATGGATCGTTGCGGAATAACTTGGTTTGGTATTCTCGTATTGGCCGGCGTCGGTTACGGCCAACCAAATCATCGATGTGTTGACGTAGTCTTAATAGTAAGCATAAAGCAATGGGGTCTATTGTGGTTTGGCATACTGCGTGCACTAAATGTATCACGGCCGTAAACGAGTGCATCATTATCAATGTGCATGTCCTCGTCAGACTTTTCTTGAAGCCAATAGAGTGTGTGTACCTTTTTGCCCTGGAATCGGTTGTATGGGTTGATTGCAAGCTGGATTTCTGGCCTTAGCCAACAGTCATTTTCCGCAGGGAAACCGAATTGATTACCTGTTGAGGCAAATACCTAGGTGATGTTTCAAGGTCGCATAAGAATAGGCAATTATCATACGCATCTTGCAGCGTAGCATTGCCCCCGGAGAGATGCCCTGTGGCCTTGCCAAAAAAGTGTTAAAAATGCATATATATATATATATATATATATATATATATATATATATATATGTGTGTATATATATATATATATATATATATATATATATATATATATTGACATATCGTTGTGTTGTTATTGTTTGAGATGCATAGATAAGGGATATATGTATGAAATATTTGCATGAATATAAAGAGCCTTAGTTTTGCCAATGATGGATGTCTGAGCGGGATTTTTTAAGAAACTTGTCCTGCGGTATCCCACTGTTGGCGGCGGGCGAGATTTTGGGGTCTCAAAAGGCGGCAACTCTATCCCAAATCTGTTCGTTTCTTAAAGATCACAATGTCCAGGCCCAGTTCGAGGCCCACATAGTACTCAGCTTCCCCAATGGCACGGGTGGGGCCGAGCAGCTCGCTCGCTCTTTCCGCCTGGGTGTTAACACTGTGTCTCAACACCAGATCCAGCGATTTTGACTAAGACGTCACCACCAGAACAGCGTGTATTCCATCCGTTCGAGAAATCAGATATGGAATACGCCGACTCGGAAGACGTCATGAGTCTCGCTGGGCCTCTTTGCTCACGCGAGCTCATATAGCTCGTACTACATGCCTCGCTAAACCCCTTGCTGGAGGCCTCATCCAGCGGGGCTTTAATGGCATAACGAATGCAGATGTTTAGGAACAGTCACAAGTAATCAGGCGATGTCTTAAAAGATCCAAAAGTGATGGGAAAAGCTTGAGCTGCGCGTGTCAGCGGTGTTGAACACCATAGTCAAGCCCTGCCAGGTGGCATCTCGTGAGTCTGCAGCGTCACCATCAATCGCATGCTGTTTTTACCTTGCACCATGGCAATGCACTGGCTGGGACGACTTCTATTGCAATTTTACATTCAAGGCGACTCGTTTGCAATTAATCAGAGAGGACTGAGAAAACAACGTGGAAAAGGACATGTGCCGAAGGGGCGATACTCCGTTATTTTAAGTCAGAGCAACGTCAAATAAAGAAACAACGTATCAGACACGAGCATATGAACTCAAGGTCTTTTTAATTTATGCATTATATATATATATATATATATATATATATATATATATATATACATATATAAATGCATCATTTTTATTGCTAGCCTGCCTTAATAATTTTCAGCGAGCTTTGCGCGAAACCTATCGCCCAGTGCCTACGTTGCCTGAAACATGGCGGAACAATTCCCGCATCCAGAAACTCAGTGATGAAACAAATCAAATGAATGATAGGCTGGTCACCAAAACATACTACAGGCGATAAACGGTGTAACAATCAGTCAGATAAGCCTTATGCTTGTATAATTATATTGCAAACAAGAACGAACAATGCTAGCTATGCTCAGAAGTGCGCTTCAAACCATACATACCATAAATAATTGGTATTTAGCGTGAACTTTCGGAGGACCGACGCGCCAAATATGAGGTTAATTCATCAAAAACAAGGGTTAAATAGGCGAACAACAGCTTCTTCGCCATCTTAATGATGTCCACGGGCCGTTTACTCGCTCATGTTTGATCTGCCTTTGATGGTGGCCGACCTAAGAGCGCCGCTAACGGCAGCCCGTGGGGACGTAAGGGCGGTGCCGGCACCTCTGAGCCGGCCCCGGCGCCGGGACCGGACCGGGCCGCCGGACGCAGCCCAGGCGCTGCTGTTTGGCGGCGCGACGCCTCTGAGCCGGCCCCGGGCGCCGGGACCGGACCGGGCCGCCGGACGCAGCCCAGGCGCTGCTGTTTGGCGGCGCGACGCCTCTGAGCCGGCCCCGGGCGCCGGGACCGGACCGGGCCGCCGGATGCAGCCCAGGCGCCGCTGCTTGGCGGCGCGGTGCCTCTGAGCCGGCCCCGGCGCCGAGACCGGACCGGGCCGCCGGACGCAGCCCAGGCGCCGCTGCTTGGCGGCGCGACGCCTCTGAGCCGGCCCCGGTGCCGGGACCGGACCGGGCCGCCGGACGCAGCCCAGGCGCCGCTGCTTGACGGCGCGACGCCTCGTCGGGGGGTAGATTAATGGGCGCTGGGTCATTACATCAGCTCCCACCGGGGCTGCCCGGTCGGCCTGCTCACGCCTCGCCGCTGTGTTTGTGCAGTCGGGGAGCAAGCTCGATGCTTCCCAGGGCACGCAGCGGCGTAATGCACTCGTCTGGGCTGTCTTCAGGGGCTGCGACGGGTTTGCTCTCTTGCCGAGTTTGTGCCTGCACACTGAGCGTTGTAATGGTTGTATTGCACCCCATCTCCTCGTTTGCGTTTGTTCCGTTTCATAAAAACTGTCTTGAAGTAAATAGCAGGATCGTGGACCTTGAAATTATCAAATGCAGATACTTCGTATGCGGTCCGAAAGACAAAGTTACCAGACAAAGGGTTCGCTGCGTTTCTGACAGCAGTGTTGAGATGAGGCCTAATAATGAAAGGGTGCTCTGAAGAGCCATTGCTGAGAGATCATGCAAGCATAAATCAGGATCGTATTCTGATGTGGTTGGTTTATGCCGACCGTCAGTTAGAAATGGTGGCATGGATGGTCACCTTCAGCCTCTGCGCGATGGATGCCTTCGCAGATTTTCTGTACCCAGCTCGTTCGCTATCCGTTCCGGTGTCCATCGGTTCTCGACATTTTTGCTTGACGTTTTGTAATATGGCACACGCTTTTGGTTCTTAATAACAGAAGCCACATTTGTCATGTCGTGCCTATCTTTACGACATCGCCACGGGTCCCTACATGTGCCTCTACTGCTGTCAGCTGTCCTTTCAAGGTTGTATTTTTTCAGTTGTATTTCTTTCGTAAATGTCTCCCGGATATCAATGGGCTTACCCGCTCGTGAAGACGTTTTCTGGACGTGCTTCCTAGAAACATATTCAATTCATGGAAGGCACAGGGGCTGTCCAATGCCAGCCGATGGACCCCTTCCGTCCGCGTCAACCAGCGCACCTGTCCACAGAGTACCCCAGGCCCTGTGTGTGTGTTACCGCGTGCTCGCTGATGGAGCAGGGGGTGGCGGCGATCTCCGGGCCACAGAGTACCCCAGGCCCTGTGTGTGTGTTCCAGCGTGCTCGCTTATGGAGCAGGGTTTGGCGGCGATCTCCGAGCCACAGAGTACCCCAGGCCCTGTGTGTGTGTTCCAGCGTGCTCGCTGATGGAGCAGGGTTTGGCGGCGATCTCCGGGCCACAGAGTACCCCAGGCCCTGTGTGTGTGTTCCAGCGTGCTCGCTGATGGAGCAGGGTTTGGCGGCGATCTCCGGGCCACAGAGTACCCCAGGCCCTGTGTGTGTGTTACCGCGTGCTCGCTGATGGAGCAGGGTTTGGCGGCGATCTCCGGGCCACAGAGTACCCCAGGCCCTGTGTGTGTGTTCCAGCGTGCTCGCTTATGAAGCAGGGTTTGGCGGCGATCTCCGGGCCACAGAGTACCCCAGGCCCTGTGTGTGTGTGCCAGCGTGCTCGCTTATGAAGCAGGGGTTGCGGCGATCTTCGATCTGTGGCGGGCCAGAGTATCGCAGGCCCTGCGCGTGTTCCAGTGTGCTCGCTGATGGAGCAGGGGGTGGCGGCGATCTTCGGGCCACAGACGCCCTCGACATCCGCCCACGTGCAGAGCATCTGTGACGCCATGGAGATGCCGCACGTGGAGACGCGCTGGGACTACCGGCTCAAGAGGGACGACTACTCGGTCAACATCCATCCTCATCCCACTACGCTCAGCAAGGTAGGAGTGGCGGCTCCGGGTGACGCCGGGTGACGTTCTCTCAAACCACACCAAGTCTGGGAGGGCACCGGCTTGCCCCACGTGGTGATGGAGGCGTAAAAGCCATCAGCCTTTCGAATTCCCGGTGGGGTTTCGAAAGGCAAGTAATAACCGGGTGCATGCCCGAGTGCGCGTTTACTGGCCTTCGTTCGCCATATCCTCGCGTTTACTGGTTCTGCGTTCGCTACATCCTCGCGTTTACTGGTTCTGCGTTCGCCATATCCTCGCGTTCACCAGTTCTCCGTTCGCCATCTCGTCCCGTCCCAAGTCACCCAGCTCCAGTTGAGATGGCTCGCCCAGCTTGCCCTGCCCTGATGGCGAAAGCTCCCCGGCCTGACGCCCAGAGCTCTCCAGCGACGACCCCCGGCTGCCGGGGATGACGCGACCCTGATGTTTTGCGGCGGCGGTAAATCTCGTGTGAGGCCATTTATCTCCCGGCATCCGCGGCTCCAATTCCGCGTTACTGCTCCATTTAGGAGCCCATTAATGATTATCAAGGTGAAAGGCCGCAAACCGACGCCAAAGAGGAGGCCCCGGGATAGCAGAAGCTGCTGACGCTCCCCGCATATCTCTGCATGGTCACGCAGAGCAGGGGCTGTGATGGACGTCTGGGACTTGACTGATAAGCGCTTATTTTGATGGGCTTTAGCGAGCATTGAAGCTGTGACACAAAGCCAGCTAACCAGCGTCAGGAACCTCTGCTTCGCCGTCCTACGGGCGTGGTGCAATACACGGCGCCTACAAGGTGGTCGCATGGCCACGTGGAAACACCTTAACTTGTAATAGGTCGTTGTTAACTCATCACCGAGTTTTGTCCATCGGTTTGTTACGAAACATTTGGTGAATGATGATAAAGCTGGTTTACCTTAGTTTGAGAATTTAGGGCTATTTTCACTTGACGTAAAATTTCAACTTATTACCGAGTCAACTGACCATCGAAATGTAATATTGTCCAAGGCGAATGCAGCATGCAAATTCGGTAATTCCGTGTGTTGCGACGCATCCTTTTTATAATTAGTATGAGCACCGCACGATTTTGTTGAGTGAATCTAGGTACCTGACGACGCATTATTGATTTTATCAATGCTGTTTGCTGCGCATGGCTTATCTGTTCTCAAGGGAAGTTAAGGCATTTTCATGTCGACATGAATCCATCACATGGGATCGTTATACCTTTCGACAACAGGTACATATGAAGCAAATGCATGGCATCATACACCGAAGTGATAAACAGATGCCACTAGTGACTCATGTTTCATCGAGCCCATCGTCACGCCGGACCAAGCAGTCATAATCTCCCCAAAAAGCTAGCAGTTGTTTACAGTGCATCAGTGTTATTTTTCGGGATGGTGGTTGTAAGTGCAAGATCATTCGAGCCCAAGGCCGTGGCATGCCGCTGGGTGACTTCAGATGACTCCGGATTCCCACTGGAAGTGAATGGTGACCTGCCGCGACTTAAGCATCAGTATTACTTAATGGACATATTCGGCAAAAAGAGTTGGCTAAAAATGATCCTTTGCAAGTCGTAGATCACACACTGACCTACTGCCTTGCGATTTTACCTTCAAAGCAGTCGCTTGTGCTGTGGAACTGGAAGCGGAGGAGAGGCGCACAATCGACCACCTGCGGCACGGAAGTTGGAAAGCCTCCGTACCAGGCGAAGGTTAAAACGGCAGTTCTCGAGGCGTCTTGCGCTCTCCGTTTGCTGGGGCGAGACTTGAGCGTTTCTCTTGATGGCTCAAAAATGATCAACAGTCCGCTCTCGTGGCCTAGTGGGAAAAGGCATCTGGTTGCCACGTCGCTCGTGGCGGGGGAGAGTTTGTGTCGTCTCACGCTCTCGCTAATGACTTGCCTCCGACTACGATGGCCGGCGGCCGGTGGCAGCAGCCGCGCTGGGTCAGATGAAATCAGAGGGCGGGACGAAGCACGCTGAGCATTGTTGCATGCTCAACTTTGGACCAAAATGATACCGTTGAACGAGGATTTCACGATCGGATGTCGTGACCTGGGTTCACACAAACATCAAGTAACGTGTGGTATGATTCCAGAAATGCATTCAATCAAAAAGGTTCAAAATATATTCAAAAAAGATAGGCTGGGCCAATCTTAAAGAAGATCTCATCAATCCCATTTTTTGCTCACATTATATAACACTTATTCGTCTTTTTTTGCACCACGATCAGTGAAATTTTTGTGAAACACATGGGATTCGAACATGGCTGTGGTGATCCCATGTCCGACGCGCTGCAGTCGTGTGCCGCCCTCCGCCTGGGTGTGCTCCATCAGTCCTCGGTCGTCACCCGCCACTCTCCCCGGCAGGCGTACGTATCCCTGACCCAGCACTGGGGCTGGAAGACCTTCACCATCATCTACGAGGACATCGACGGTCTGGTTCGTCTTCAGGAGTTGCTCAAGGCTCCTTCCTCTTCCCACTTCAAGATCACCATTCGCCAGCTGCCCCCCGACTCTTCCGACTACAGGTCAGCGCGGGATCGCCAGATCAGGTCACCGGGCCAGCTGTCGGGTCACTGGTCGAGATCACTTGGTCAGATATCTGGTCACTGGCTCAGACCGCCTGTTCGGGCCAGTGACTCAGGTTCTCGTGCCGCCTGTGACTCAGGTCGCCGATCTGCGTCACAAGGTCAGACACGAGGTCACTGTTTCAGACCGGACGCCGAGTCACTCATACACGTCACCGGGTCACTGGATCAGATCACAGCGGGTCACTGATAGGCGTCACCGGCGCATTGACATGAGCCAGATCCGTTGACTGTATTGCACGGAGCGAATGTCGCGCGATGTATCATGTTCATGATGCCTCCTCACCCCCAGTGTCAAGGTGTTCATTGCTACACATGCCATCATTCAGTGATTTTTGAACGATTCCCTGCTCTTTCTGCTCAATGATAAACACACGTCCAATGTAGTATAACCTTCTCTGACGCAGATGTCGGAGCCATGAATCGAAAATAGCCTTTCTCTCAGAGATGTGTAAAGTGGCCAGAAACCGCAAATCTTTATGACGCATGAAAATGAATTGGGTGATTATTTCGGGATTTTTTACAAAATGGCGGCCTTGATGACCAGTGCCAAAGCAAGCAGCTACAACTCAAGCACACAAAATGGCGGTCTGCTAGGCAAACAGCCGCAGCGCAAGCACACATAATGAGCAAGCTCCGCCTTGCGATGTGTTTGTGGGAGGCCGACTGACTTTGCATCGACCGCCAGTATCAAAATGCATGTTTGGCAAAAGCTTGGAACATCTGCAAAATAAGTGCAGACTTTGAATTTTTACGCCACTGCCCACTGGATTGCCCAAAAGATCATCAGTCTCACTGTTCATCTGGCCCATCAGACTCACTGTCCATCGGGCAATCAGACTGACCGCCTATCTGACGATCAGACTGACTGTCCATCAGATCATCATACTGACTGTCCATCAGCCCATCAGGCTGATTGTCCATCAGCCCATCAGACTGATTGGCAATCAGACCATCAAACGGATTGCTCACCAGACCTGTGTACTAAAGCGCGGCTGGCGCGGGAGGGGCTCGAGAGTATGTCATCAAACGCACAGCGCTACGCCGACATTGTTTGCTTAATGCACAATGAGTTCAGGCTCTTCAGATCCCCCTCGTGACTAACGAACAGAAGGGCTGAAAAGCAACCTGCTGATGTTTCGCTCATAATGACGAGGGAAGACTGAACATTTTTTCTCAGAAGTCGGAAGAAGTGTAGCGGACAGACGGAAAATATTTGCAGACCGTTCTTCTCTCAATTCCGGGGCGAGGTCTGGCTATTCATTAGTCAGCTGGTAATTTTGCAGTTCCGCGAACATAAACCTTTTTTAACAGTTCCTTTGTTTTTCGTCTGGTATAGCATGAGTAGAGCAAATGATATGAATGAATTCATGGCACTGCTTTGACGGACAAGGTGCTGTCGAAAGAGTAGGCTATCTACGGAAGGGCAAGGGTACCAAAGCTCCCGTCAGAAGTAAGGGAGACAAAGATCTCTTAAATTTGTTCTGGAGCAACTTTTGAACCCCTTATTTTGTATCCGGAAATTCCTAGCAGCATGGAGACCTAATGTTCGATACATCACGACGGATGGCAGCTTTCTCGGTGTTGCGTCTGTCGCATTTCTCCCTTAGGTGCCCAGCAACATGTACTTGCAGCAGAATATGGTTTTCAAGTAACGTTCACTAATGATTCAGGTACTTACTAGAATTTATGAGAATGAAACTCATATTTGTAACATTTATGGGAAACTATCTGCAACGTATGACCTGATTTGCTCTGCTCTAATTGGACGCCAGTGTCTTGCGCTCGAGGGCCGCTGGGGTGCCAGATCGAGCGGAGCGCTAAGACTGCTGGAGGAGTGGGGGGGGGGGGGGCTGGCCGGTGTGTTACCATGCGCTGTCTGTTGGTATTTTGGAAATATGTTGGATATGGGGACCAATATTCTGACGCAATGTCACGGTAACTAAGCATAGTTGTTTGCTTGTTTGTACTATAAGTGTATGGGGAATGGGCTTATGCGGACTTGGCCTGATTATGATTCGATGTCACGGATCGTATCCATTGATGGAGTCCTTTCAACAGTCTTGGTAACGGTCGGCCAGAAATGTATGTCGCTGCTTACCACGCTGCCGTAGCGCACAGCCCTGGCGTTAAAATAAATGCCTCGATCTTCCATTTTTTACCCCGTTGGCTTCTCGTAACTCCTGAAAGGCTACTTGCACCGCTACGTGTTCTGACCTAGTTCTACGTGTTCTGATCTAGTTCTACTTGTTCTGGTCTAGTTCTACGTGTTCTGATCTAGTTCTACCTGTTGTGATCTGGTTCTACGTGTTCTGATTTCGTTCTACGTGTTCTGATCTAGTTCTACATGGGATTTTCAATGCCGATTTCTGCTTAGCTCGGACGTGTTGAGCTGTTGGATAGCAGGGCACCCGTGAGCCGCTCGGCCGGCGCATGTGACATAAAGCTCGTCTGGTGAGAGTTCAGCCTCACCGGACGGGGGAGAGCCGCAGCTCCTATTCTTGATTTCAGTCTCACCGGATGTGGGAGGGCCGCAGCTCCTATTCTTGAGTTCAGTCTCACCGGACGGGGGAGAGCTGCAGCTCCTATTCTTGAGTTCAGTCTTACCGAACGTGGAGGGCCACAGCTCCTATTCTTGAGTTCAGTCTCACCTGACGGGGGAGAGCCGCAGCTCCTATTCTTGAGTTCAGTCTCACCGGACGGGGGAGACCCGCATGTTCTATTCTTGAGTTCAGTCTCACCGGACGGGGGAGAGCCGCATCTCCTATTCTTGAGTTCGGTCTCACCGGACGGGGGAGAGCCGCAGCTCCTATTCTGGAGTTCGATCTCACCGGACGGGGGAGACCCGCATGTTCTACTCTTGAATTCAGTCTCACCGGATGGGGAGGGCCGCAGCTCCCATTCTTGAGTTCAGTCTCACCGGACGTGGGAGGGCCGCAGCTCCTATTCTTGAGTTCAGTCTCACCGAAAGGGGAGAGCCGCAGCTCCTATCCTTGAGTTCAGTCTCACCGGACGAGGGAGAGCCGCAGCTACTATTATTGAATTCAGTCTCACCTGACGGGGGAGAGCCGTATGTTCTATTCTTGAGTTCAGTCTCACCGGACGGGGGAGAGCCGTATGTTATATTCTTGAGTTCAGTCTCACCGGACGGGGAGGGCCGCAGCTTCTATTCTTGAGTGCCGGCGGAGTGTCAGTGCCGGTGGTTTTGTCGACACCGTAGCCCCCTCCTCCGCCGCCAAGCACCCTATGAAGAAGGCGTTTGCCGTCCGGACACGGGCTGTGCGTCCCCGAGTGCTGATAGACGGCGCCGGCGGAGACAGTTCCGCCCGGAACGCATCAGTCACAAGGCCGGAGATGACTGGCTCTCAGCCGGCACGGCCGCCCCAGCTAGCTTGATGCCCCAGCTAGTCTGACGCCCTAGCTGGTCTGACGCCCCGGCTGGTCTGACGCCCCAGCTGGTCTGACGGTTTGACGCCCCAACTGGTCTGACGCCCCTGCTGGTCTGACGCCCCACCTGGTCTGACGCCCCAGCTGATCTGACGTCCGGCTGGTCTGACGCCCAGGCTGGTCTGACGCCCCAGCCGAGAGAGTATGCCAGCCGTCTTGAGGCCCAAATTGCCGTAACCCGCCCCCCCCCCCCCTCCGCCTTCGCTCTAGCAACTTCGCCGGCGCAGGCCAACCACCGCAGTGACTGTGCCGCCGGGAGAAGGAGAGCCGGCACCAGGCTGGGGTGGTGGTGGACAGACGGCACACGCATGGTAATAATGACACACAGCTGACACCAGGCTGTGGTGGTGGTACACAGATGGCACCGGGCCGGTGGTGACGGCCCGCAGACGGCCCCGGCCCGGGGGTGGTGGTACACCAGCCGCACTAGGCCGCCGGAGACCGTCACGGGTCACTGCAGAGATCAGCGGCGCCGTGCGGAGCGTCGTCTGTCGGGCTGGTGCGGATCCTGACCGTAATGGTGGCTGTAATGTAACGCCCGTCCCTCCTCCAGCCGCCACTAATGGACGGCGAATGGAGGGAGAGGGGACGCACGGTCGCGCACCGGCGACAAACGCACGCTCTGGCCCCATTCCAGGCCGCTACTCAAGCGGATCAAGAAGAGCGGAAGCACCAAGATAGTGCTGGACTGTCGCTTGTCGCTGCTGCGGCCGCTGCTGGAACAGGCGCAGGAGATCGGCATGATGAACCAGTACTTCAGCTACCTTCTCACCTCACTGGTCAGACGCCAGGCCTCGTCACAGCCGTGCATCCCCGACGTGTGACGAGAGCATTTGTGGCCATCCATTAGTAACAGTGCACCTCTGCTTTCGTCCAAAATAATATTTTTTTTTAATCTGCTGGCGTTTTAAGATGGTTAAGTTGTATGTGCACCTAGGCGGTAGGTATGGAGAGACGCATCATCAAGTCACCATTCACCAACCCGTAAACCAGGACATAACTTTGCACGTGATTTAGTTTTCCATGGTTAATTGAGTAGCCTTGTTTTTTACGGCCGACTTCAGTGGTGTGCTGTGCACTTTGCTCGGCCTGTCACAGCATCAGAATATGGATGTGACTCGCGCTTCTCGCACCGATGTCCCATCCCATGTGGGCCACAGGTCGCAGCGGTCACCGGTGTCACTGATCACTCGATGTGGGCCACAGGTCGCAGCGGTCACCGGTGTCACCGATCACCCGATGTGGGCTACAGGTTGCAGTGGTCACCGATGTTGCCAGTGTCACTTATGCCCCTATGTGGGCTACAAGTCCGCAGACACGACGCCCGCGGCGACATTTGTCTCGCCGGCCGCCAGCCGGCGAACGCGAGATACTGATGGCGCGGACTTTCTTGCTGGCCGTGGTCCGGCTGGTCCGGACGCGGATTTTTCTGCCGAACGTGGACCGGCTGGTCCGGACGCGGACTTCTCTGCCGAAGGTGGTCCGGCTGGTCCGGACGCCGCCAGCCGGTGCCCCAGCGACGCGATGTGCGCCTACCCCGGCGAGCCCCTTCGTGCCATTGGCCAAGCGTCTGTCAGGGCCAAGTGCACCGCGCCCCCTCGCTCAAAATGCTGATTGACGGGGGCCGGGGGAGACCGCACTGACCCGCCTCCGTGATGTGCCAGCGCTGTCGCCGTCCGAGCCAGATCAATTCGTCGCGGTCAGCGCCCATCGGTGTCCTGGGCTATCGGCGCATCTGGCACGACGCTCATGACAAATTACCTTGGGAGTCGGACCTTCCCCGTATTCATGTGATTGAGAATGATTTGAGAATGATAATCATGATTTATGAGAAAATTAATGCATTTTGGCTACGTCGTCCATACATTCGTTTAGACTATGTCTTGTGTTCTCGAGGCGGCGTATCTGAGACACACACAAGTCCCACATCGAGCATGCTACGCTCCTCATGCAGCTTACCTGTACACTTAAATAACGCTTCCGAAGCAAACCTGCTCGCTTTCACACAACCCGTACCACACACTCGCCGGTGTTCACACGCTCTCAGCGTGCAACGCCGTCTGTTTCGCAGGACGTGCACACAGTGGACCTGGACGACTTCCGCTACCTGGGTACCAACATCACGGCCCTGCGGCTGGTGGACCCGGACCAGCCGACGGCGTCCCAGGTGCTGCGCCACTGGCAGGCGGCGCCGCTGGCGGCCGGTCGCGCCGGCTGGCCGGCCGGCCTGCCCATCGAGGAGCTCACCCGCTCCCAGGTGAGACGCCGGTGCGGTCACGGGCCGGCCGCGCTCGGCGACGGGTGTGGCACACGCCGACCGCACAGGGTTGCTAGTGGCGACGGGTGTGGGACACGCCGGCCGCACAGGGTTGCTAGTGGCGACGGGTGTGGGACACGCCGGCCGTACAGGGTTGCTAGTGGCGACGGGTGTGGGACACGCCGGCCGTACAGGGCTGCTAGTGGCGACGGGTGTGGGACACGCCGGCCGTACAGGGTTGCTAGTGGCGACGGGTGTGGGACACGCCGGCCGTACAGGGCTGCTAGTGGCGACGGGTGTGGGACACGCCGGCCGTACAGGGTTGCTAGTGGCGACGGGTGTGGGACACGCCGGCCGTACAGGGTTGCTAGTGGCGATTATTGCTGGACACGGCGGCCGTACAGGGCTGCTAGTGGCGACGGATATGGGACACGCCGGCCGTACAGGGCTGCTAGGGGCGATTATTGTTGGACACGCCGGCCGTACAGGGCTGCTAGGGGCGATTATTGTTGGACACGCCGGCCGTACAGGGCTGCCAGTGGCGATGGTTGTTGGACACGCCGGCTGTACAGGGCTGCTAGTGGCGATTATTGTTGGACACGGTGGCCGTACAGGGCTGCTAGTGGTGACAGGTGTGGGACACGCCGGCCGTACAGGGCTGCTGGTGGCGACGGGTGTGGGACACGCCGGCCGTACAGGGCTGTTGGTGGCGACGGGTGTGGGACACGCCGGCCGTACAGGGCTGCTGGTGGCGACGGGTGTGGGACACGCCGGCCGTACAGGGCTGCTGGTGGCGACGGGTGTGGGACACGGCGGTTGCTCGCGTGTGACGTCAGCTGGGGCGGCGCCGCCGATTTTTAGTTGGGGGCAGGATTTTGCGGGGGCCTCCTGGACAACAAGCGGCCTCCTCACAGCGGAACCTTTAGAGCAGTGTTGTATTCAAGGGGCAGGAGCACCAAGGTCTGGTGACAACAGAATTGGGGCCTTCTGATTATCCAGTAAAAGGTCTCGCTGTCCTAAGACATGGACATCTATTCCAGAAAGGAGCTTCCTGATGCATTGAGGAGCATCCTAATCCAGAGCAGGATGCATTCGATTCACGAATCAGACCTTCGAATCTAGCAAGGGAGCCACGTTATTCCTAAACAAGGGTCTAACATCCTAACATCGGGTCTATTTAGCAAGAGCATAGGCTACCTTATTAATGCAGATAGCTTCATGATCCAGAAAACGGTCCTCTTGATGCAAACAAGGGTCTTCCGAGCTCGATGGATCACTCTCTAGCTTAGATATAGGGGCCTCCTTGATCTAAACTTCGGTGATATGCGGTTCGTCGTAATGCCTTGGTCTTGAGAAAATAGGCCTCCCAAGAAATTTGAGCGGGCAAAAACATACTCACATCTGCCCTACACGTTTTCTGGGTGACCCGTAAAACGGTTAAAATCAAGCAATTAACCCACGCGTTTGGAATTCTTGTAAACGAGCAATTATACACTGCAATCAGACATTAACGACTCAGACTAATTGTTGAGCTACGAATTGCGATCTTTAGCTTTGACCAATCCCCTGCAGACCCACTCTACGCTTATATGCGAAATAATGCCATTTTTTTCGGCAGGATCTGTTAAACGGCGACAAATATGTAAACTTCTCCAGTATTGTGGTAAGTATTTCCTCCTTGCGTTCCACATTCTACTATCTAAATGAACCGCCGCTTCAGCAGTTTCTGTTTCGGTGCACCGGCTGCGACTGAGTTTGGTGTTCCAATACATTCCAATAGTAACGTATTATGGCTTTTATACAAATGCTGTTGTGATCGCTTCTTGCTGTATTCAGATGCTTCTCGGTATGGCGTGATCCTTTCAACTGCGCTTGCGTGTTGCACATAAATGAAGCGTGTTGCTTTGCTTGTGAGCGGGCTACAGCAGTTCATTCTCGGCAAGGCTGTTCTCGCCACCGCCAGCTGTCAGTTTGCCGTGCGCTACAGATGTCACTTGACCCGCGTGTCCGACAGACGGGCACGACGTTGATGTCCGGCGCTGATGTGTCCGGCAGACACGCACGGCGCTGGTGCATGATGCCGGCGATGCATGACGCTCAGTTGTCTGGCGGACGGACACAGGGCTGATGTGCGCCACCAGTGATGGCTGATGCTTAAAACGGACAGACGTCACCGGCGCCAGCGGTGCGGACACAAGATCGATGTGTAACGCTGACGGCAGACGGACATGCACTGACGCATACCGTGACGTACGACCGTGCGATGCGTGTCCCGACGTACGGTCGTGCGATGCGTGTGTACCCGGAATACGGACACGAACTCGGCGTTGATGTTTGACGCTGACGTGCCCGGCATTTGGCCACGACCCTGACGTGCGGCTCTGATGTGTCCGGCAGACGGACACGGCGCTGATGTATGACGCCGTGCACGTGTTCGCGCGCGCGTTGCACCAGTACGACCAGGCGCTGACGGTGCGACCGCTCAGCTGCCAGGCGGAGGACAGCTGG